GAAAGGATTTTAATAAACACTGTCATCATATTAACAGCAGCTATCATTCTTCTATTTATATTCGCCATCATCTTCTCTGCTTTTTATTTCCCATATCCATATGATATCTGTGATCGATGGAAATTGATCTGTATGGATGCGTTGTTACGTGTTAGCAATGAATATTTGGTAATCGTTCCTTCCTTTTTGTCTTTTTTAAATTCCATTTTTTTCCTCCTTTTTTTGCAAATAAAATTAAACTTTTAAAATTGTACATTTAAAGAGGTTTGGATTTGCATAGTCTTGCTGTATATGTGTGTGTTGCTAGACTTACCTATATATATATATATATTGGTCGACATATCGATATATCAAAGATATTATCAAATATCATCACAAATATTGATAATTTTCATACTATTTAAATTTCATTTAATTGCAGGGTGAAATAGTACATTTTTTATTTGGTCCACAATATCGAAATATCTTAACACGTGTAATCTTCGCCATTCCTCGTTTACTTCATCTTTTTTCACCTACTTGGTTAATTATTCGAAATGAAATTATTGCTAATGTCAGTGTTCGTGTTTATTACCCCAAAAAAAGACGTAGTAATGCTATGATATTATATTTGCATGGTGGTGGTTGGACAACATTAAAACCTGGTAATTAATTAGCTATAACTATTTATTATAATGAGTGACTATTTTAATTGTTAGTAGCAATTTACATGATATAATAATAAGTCGAATGTTATAATTTTTGTCCTATCTCTTTAAAAAAAATCATTTAGTAATAAAAAAAGTATGAAAAGTCTTGAAAATATTCAAATTTGAATCTATAAAATATATATGGAAAGATAATAATAATTATTCTTTCAGTTGATTACGATGATTTGATATTTTATTTTATAAAACGTCTTGGGATGCTTATTATTTCGGTTGATTATCGTCGATCACCAGAATATCTTTATCCAATTCCAATTGATGATTGTGATGCCGTTTATCGAGAGCTTGTTACTATCGATTATAAAAGATATGGTATCGATCCGACGCTAATTTTTCTAATGGGTGATAGCGCTGGTGGTAATTTGGCTGCAGTTGTAGCGCAGCGACAACTGAGGGCAAAATTTATGAAGCCAAAAGTAAGGATTCGATATTAAATTATTTTAAAAAATAAGTCATGTAAGTTTTCTCTGCATAACTGCTGAGAGATAAGTTTAACCTCGAAGATAGTACAGACTTCATTTAATATTTGTTTTTTAAATATTCAGTTTTTGACATCATTAACATATATAAGATATCATTAAAATTTCTAACTCATACTTCCAACATTAGAAATTTGATTTTTTTTTTTGAATTTTTTGCAGAGTTTGTTCATAACCCTTAAAAGAATGCTATTACTTTTATCGGGAAATATCAGAGATAAAATTTGTTCACTGCTTCATTTATAATCTCATTTTCTAAAAATTCTCATATTAATGTGATCTAATTTATTATTTCAGTCACAAATTTTGATTTATCCAGCAATACATCCATTCGATTTTCAATCACCATCTTATCAACAATACCATAAATTCTTTTCCGGATGCTCAATGCTTAATCCACGAATGATGGCGCAGTGGTACTTACATTATTTAGGTGTTCCCGTCACTCGTGAAAATACACAAAAACTGCTTAAAAATCAACATATTCAAAGGTATATGCAATAAAATGCAAATTTAATAAAATTTATAAGTTGAATAATTTATTATTTTAAAAAAGGCTTAAAAAATGAAAAATACATTATATTTACATTCATATATCGTCATGAAAGAATTAATTTATAGAGAAGGAAAGCAGACTAATAAATTACAATTCATTATTGGACATAATTTATTACCGATTAGTTTCATTGATGAAACAGATAAAAATTTTGAAGTGAAATCAGTGGATGATAATGTAAGTTACAATCTTTTCATAATTTTACATTTCAGACTTTTTTTTTAAAAATAAATTATAACATTTTTTACAAATTTTCTACGAAATGCAAACGTATCCATGAAATAAAAATTATAACGGTATAAATGATATTATCAAAATTGGTATATTATTTATTGTAATTCATTCTAATTGATTTTGAAAATTCATTGAAAATTTAAACTCTAACGTAATTTTATATAATTATAAAAATGGTATTAAAAGTTAATCTTGTAGTTAAAGTTACACGATAAAAATTTTTATTTCTCATTTTTAATTTTTTCTTATCTTTTATCATACAAAATTAATTTCAGCTATGTGCTATGTTATCAAAACATGTCTATAATCCTGATCTTGCACCAATTATGGGTACAAACTTAGAAGGCCTCAGTGATGCAATGATAATCACCGCGGGATATGATATTCTTCGTGACGAAGGCACATTATATGTACGACTATTGAAATCGTTCAATGTATCAGTTTGCTGGAAACATTATTATCACTCATATCATGGCTTCTTGAATATGCCTTTTAGTGCTCATAAAAAGAAAGTTTTACATGATATTGCAAATTTCATCGAATCAAAATTACATGAAAATTCATAGAAGAAAAATTATTTTTTTTAT